AATAAAAATAAAATTTCAGGGATGAAATTCTTAGTAATTACGAATAAATGACTTTATAAAATCTCTCTAGGTGAGAAAATATATCTAATTAAGCCCAAATAGTGAAAGAATTGGATATATTGTCAATAAAATATAAAATAAATAAACTTATTAAGCTTTTTGATGACGGAGCCTCTTTAAGAAAACAAATGAGATTATTGAATACTCTTAAGACGAGAAAATATTTTTAAGAATTCTACCAAATTGATGAAAAAATCTTAAAAATTATCTATAATATTTAAATATCAAAATTAAGACTATTAAAACTATAAACCTTAGAATAATTTAAAATAAAGTAGTACTATCCTTTGGATAGGCATATAGGGGTGTTATAACCTTCTCCATATGTAACCGAACCTTCAAACCCTATTCTGATTAGTAAACCATAACTTATTCTTTAGGAACCCTTAGTCAAGCTTAAAAGCTCATTAAAAGGATAGATTAATTAGGTGGCCAATGACACCTAGATAAAAGGTTGGTGGAGACTCTTTAGGTTGTGTCTAGCTATAGATTTACGGATCTATATGTTATAATAGTTTGGTGACTTAGCTGAGGAATAATAGAAAGTCAGGCCATAACATTTAAAATTTATCCTATCCTTTGAGCTAATGGTTTTAACTTGTAATGATTGTATTATTTGTTTACTGACGTTTTTATTTTCTATCTTTTATTTATGGAGGTTTAAAAATTATATGTTCCTTCAAACATACTATCATATGTATTTGTATTATATGAGCTCTATACTCGAGCTCCATCCCTCTTAGGATGGGGTAAAATACCTATGCTCTTGTGAGATAATAATCTCTATAATGGCTAGCGTAATACTCTCACTCAAATTAAATCTCTTTTGTTGATAGCCTATGATAGGTAAGGATTAGAATACCTTACTAGTCTGTAATGAACAATGACATAAAGAACAATTTAGGAACCTTTAGTGGTCAAAATCACTTAGCCTTGCATATAATCTACACTTAAGAGGCCAACCTTAAGATAGAGTCATTCCTACTTGTTGATAGATGTAACAAAAAAATTAGGACACAGGAAGGAACAATTTATGTGATATATTAATTATCTAACCGTTTTTATTTGTTTGACTTTGTGTATATACATCATTTTAATTATTATAGTGTTTTGCATTATCAATTAACTTTATGCATCATTTTCATTGTCATGTTTAATACTGTGCATTTGCATCATTCTCGTATAGGGAATATTTGCCACATATCAGTTATTGATAAACTAGATCTCATACCTATATCATGGAAGGCCAAATGCAATCAAAGTCTGCATCAATTCGTTATGGATTTGCTCACCAGTTAAAAATCAAGTTAGAGGAAGGTAAAAAAAAAAAAGAGGGTAATTGTCTATCTAAAGGTTTTATTTCATCATTACTTGAAAGAGTTTATCTCAATCTTTAACAAAATGACTTGGTTAACTTAAGCAATGTTTAGGGATGCGTGAGTAGAACAAGGCAAGAGGTATTTGAGAATAAATATGGGGACATAGCTTCACTGCTCAAAGTAAATATGGCCACTAATTTATCAGAACCATCCTTCAATTTTGGGATCCTTCTTATAGGTGCTTCATCTTTAATGAAGCAGATATAGTACCAATAATTGAAGAATACATGGTCTTACTTCACTTTGATTTGCTAAACATAAACAAGATTTATTGGTTAAGCAAGGTGAGTTATCATAAGAAACCTGTGTAAATGCTTGAACTCAGCTTACCTCAAGTCAATGCATGTGTCAAAACAAAAGGCCAGAGCAAGGGTATTCCTTGGGGTTTTCTATGAGACTACATTCAGGAACATTTAGGTGATGATCAGGGAATAGTAGCGATGGCTATAGCTTTATATAGATTAGTAGTCTTTCCAAAAGTCATTGGATATGTTGATGTTGTAGTGATAGATTTTGTTGATAAGTTAGAACATAAAGTCAATACAGCATCGACCATTTTGGCAGAAACCATCCGATCTTTGAATTACTATCACAAAAAAGGTAAAGGTTAGTTTAATAGGTGCATACAACTGCTTTATGTATAGATGAAGAGTCACATCAAATGTGAAAAAAGTAAGTTTCACATATGATACTTTCGTTCTAGCATTCCAATCAAGGAGTTTTGTTATAGCACATGGCTTAAAGCAAAGTTGAAAGAAAAATGGGTTTCATATCTTCGAGCACTTGATAGCCAAAAGATAATTTGGAAAGCACTGTAGGTGCATCATGATCCAATGTTTTATAATTGTGGGAATCAACCTTGGATTTTTTTGTTAGGCCTATGGGGTGCTATTACTTATGCTCCAACTTTGGTGAGAAGATAGTCTAGACATGAGGAATTTTTTTCAGAAACATACGAACTTAACTAGTGAAAATTTTCTTTTACCGAAAAATAAAGAGGATACTTGTCCCTGCCTATTTGAAGAAATTCCTGCATTGCATGCATATAACATATTTCTGCCATGCATCTATAGTCATGTAGTGATTAATTGTTCTTATTTAAAATTTCTTTAGGCACTGCATTCTTTTCCTTGCAAAGTTGCATGAACCATTCTTGTCATCCTAACACAAAAGCATTCAAAAGAGAGGAGGTACATTAATGTTATAAAAATAATAATAGACAAGTAGATGGTGCTTTTTCTGCTTCTTATTGAACATTTAGTTTAATTTATCATTCTTCAAACTAACACATGCCACATTCTCTTTGTCTAGAGTGTCTGTTTCAAAATCCAAATTCCAGGATAGAGATGGTCAAGCAACCATTATTATTGCACTTAAGCCTATTTGCAAAGGAGAGGAAGTAAATATTCCTTTCTTATCTTGTTAATTAAGAGTTAGCTGTAAAATCTTTATGAGAACAAACTCAAATAATTAAAAAAATAATAATAAATTTATATATAGAGTAGAAAACTTAGCTTTGCTGAGGACCACTATCCTTAAAACGGATTTTAGTTCTCTCTGAATAATAACTCATGTGCAAACAGAGCTACAGTCACATCCAGTTTTTAGGATTCAACAGTCAGTAATCTCTGTAATCTTGTATATGAAATAAAAAGATCAAGCAAACCATCTTTGATTTCGCTAACTCCTTATGTATTTTATTATTTTATTTGATGTAGTATATAGCACTGTTTTAGTTTTTGGATGGCCGAAAATGAGAAAGGAAGGGAAAGCTACTAAACTAGAAATGTGAAAAAGGCTTGTTTATGTAGTTGTTTAAAGCCCTTTTTTAATAGGTTTACAAAATTGTTCAATGAATTATGTGGCAGTTCATTATGGAATGATATGTGTATGTATGGTTAGCTTATTTACACTGGAAAGAGAATGGTTCAATGAATTGCTCCTATAGGTACTAAGTGGCAGTTCAAATCCAAAAGATACTGATCATCTTAATTTACTAGCTCACTAATTTGAATTATGTGGGGATAGTTATGATTCAAATTAAGATATATAGACACATAGTCTAATACTTTTAATAAATGTCATGCATTACAAAAACAAACATACAAATGTCCTTAGCGGGTGGTATTCTTTTAATTTATTTTATTGATAACAACCAGTTTTGGTTGATTAACATTCTAATAAGTCAACTAATTATAAGCCTATAAAAGCTTGAGATAATCGGCTAAAGAAATTCTGGCCAAAAAATAAAATAAAATAAAAATTAGCTAGACATATACATCGACAAGCCTTTTACATTTCTAGTTTAATAGCTTTCTGAACATTTAAGGATCATGTGTGATGCATCTTATTTTTTCTCTGAACATAAATTGTTTATTTTAATACCGATGAATCATTGAAAATTGGGATTGTGAATCCTATATAAGTTCAATTTCCGGCCTGCACTTTTACATAATTAATCAATCAACAAGAGAATTTTCAAAATAGAGAGAAGCTAAAGCAAAATAAAAAGTTAATGAAAATCCTTAAATCCGCGAAACAGGTGTAGTAGCAACTAGAAGGAAGAGGAAATTATGAATCCAGAAATATCAGTATTTCATACCATATGGTAGATGAGTAAGGAGGAATACCGAAAAAATAACCCCCCAGTTTTAACAAAGATGAAACAGTCTCCTTGCTTTCAAATCACAACTAGAAATTAAATGCCTGTCAGATCCATCATATTTGTTCTCATGGCCAAATCAAATCTTAATTAAAAAAAAAAATACCTGCAAATGCTGCAGGCAACAGACAAGATCAGCCCGAATGGCCTTCTCCTGCAACTGGGTAAAAGAAATTGAGTAGATTCAACATTTTTAAAATTAAAAGGCTAAACTGAAAATTGAATGCTACAACTTTAGATTAGGCTGGGCAGTACTTTTTTTTTTTTCTTATTCTTATTCTTTTGGAAAATAAATAACTTAGAGAATATTTAAATGCCATCCAGAAACAAAATATAAACACTAATGCCTTAAACGGTACCAATAACATTATTCAAAGATCAAAAACTTAGAACAAAAAGGCTATATTATTGCATGGAAATGAAGTTTAAGTACTTGATTAAATTTTTTTTTTTTTTGTTTAGATATCATATTAGAACATTTTCAATAATTCAAGGGCCATACAGGATATTATCTCTTTAGAAAATTATCAGTGCCTTCCCATGCCTCAGATTGGAAAGGTTTTTAGCCTTGGATGTATATCATGCTTTATAACTTCATTTCAATTTGTTCAGACATTCCCCTTTCTCCGGATAAGTATCCATAAAATTTTAATACAGTCAAAATAAAATAAAGTCCAAAGCATTGAACATACGAAATTATTGCATTTAAGATCTTTTAAGTATAATGGTATATAAAAGAAACATAGCACACCAGAACAGGTACTCTAGCGTCGTATGCACTTTGGTTCATGCTCAAAGCTAGAGCCGATGAGCAGTGATAGCATATAAAAATCATCCTTCAAAATATATTCAGAATTAGAATTGCTGCATTCGTAACACATTTTAGCCTTGAAATTTGCCTTTTTTTTCTTTTACGAAGCACTAGTCTTTGGCTTTTCCAGATGATCGATAGCTGTAGGTGATATAAGCCCCAAGTGCTGCAATCACCAAAACAGACACCCCTATATTAATCAGCAACATCCGATCTTCATAATCGTCCGTGGCAAGTCTCTTTGCAGTCTTCATTATGGTGTCCATAACTTTCATTTCTTTGGCTTTTTCCAGGAAGCTGCTACCACGCTCCTTTGGCTTCTCTTCTACGGGACCACCAGCTTTATCATCGTTCTTTCCCTTCTCCAAAATCTTCGGAATATTGATTTCGTACATGGTGGAATCTTTAGTCTTTCCGCTTTCCTTTTCTTTAACCACTTTGCTTTCATCCTTTTTCTCAACAATTTCAGCTGTAGAGGTAGAGCCCGCACCAGTCTTTTCTTCGGTTTGCTTTGCGGTAGTTGCAATGGGAGCAGCTTTCTTTTGTGTTTCTTCCTGTTGCTTTAATGGCAGCAAAGCATCAACCTTGTTCCCATTAGTCTGTGCGGCTTTTGGAGTAGCATTTTGTTGAGGACCCATTTCCGTTGGTGCTTTAGGCTCAGTTATGGCTTTTTGAGGGGTTTGTGGAGGCAGTAATTTTTTGTCTCTTTCTTTTTCAACACCAGATGTTGAAGCTGCAGCTTTGAGCATAGTAGTAGTTTTATTTTGGTCCTTCATGGGCTTTTGCGGGCTCATGGCTTTTGAAGGTGTAGTTTCTTTGGTGGTATTTGCATCTTTTATAGAACCGACATGGGCAATTGTCTGTTTAGGCATTGTGACTGTAAGAACACCATTTCTGAAACTACCCAGAATTTTTTCTATGATACAATTTTGTGGAACAGGGAAGCTTTGATTCAAACGGCTTCGTCTGTTCTTCTCAAGTGCTCGTTCTCCCTGCACTTTAATCGTGCGGTAGGATTCAACGTAGGTGATTCTAATTTGCTCCTTTGGAAAACCTGTAAAAAAGAAAACAAGACAAATAAATTCAGATAGACGCGACTAAAATCTCGACAAAAATTGTATGTGTTTGGAAAAAATAAAGAAAAAAGAAAGATATTTTGATATGAATTATGATATAATAATTTTTATATTATACATATATTTGACACAAAACAAATATAATACAAATATACGAACTATCAAATCTAAATAAATCCCACAAGAAAAAACTTGCTTCTCTATAAATTATTTCATACTAGAAATTAACAGGAGAAAAGACAAACCCGGAAGATGAATAAGTAGAATATTTGCTCCTTGCTCTTCCTTTCGTTCAACTTGGGGTTGAAAATCCTCATAAATACTAGCAGATTCGTTGGTTAGTAATCTACCTGCCATGGTTCTTGTTTGGTTACTATCAGTATTTTTGAATTGATGCCTTTGGATGGAAATGTGATTCTTCTTGGCATATATTTTGACATATTTATATGCCATTGAGAGCATGATATTTCTTAATAGCTACACTATTCTTTCTCGGCCGCTTTGGTTTTGTGGTGTTAAAGGGGCTCCAATTTCCTTTGATCTTGTCTAACTTGTTTTACAAATAAAGTACCAAGTTCTTGGTTTGCCCTATAATACAATACTAAGAATCATACCAACGCATTGAAAGAGGCTTCGACCCACAGTTATGCTCAATCCAATTTTTAATAGCTGAAATCATTTGATTTTAAAATACATCAATATCACATGCAAATTACCCCATATTTAGAACAGAATCTTTTTGTATATCTATTATTATCCATACAGATATAAGATTTAATTAAATTTGATAGTTTTAAATACAATAAGGTAATACAATTGTCATAACTATTTTTTGTCTAAGGTACTAGATCGCTAGATTAGATAAAGGTTTTAAAAGTTGTTACCAATATTTTTTTATTCGATATTATTGGTTATCCAAAATTATTATCTTTTTAATAAAACATTTAAAACAAGTTTAAAGTCTATTAAAAAATATTTACGCTTTACGAAATCAAGATTGGGTTCGGAAATATAGTTATGAGTAAGGAAGACATTAGCACTGCCATATCATCCATTCGAAAAAGGTACCAATTAAGCATGTATTATCTTTTAATTTTGATAATATGACTTTTTAAAAATATTTGAAGTTAATTTCTTTAAAATTTCTTTATGTAAAACATTTTTTTATTGTGAAATTATTATTATTATTATTATTATTATTATTATTATTATTATTATTATTATTACTGTTGTTGTTGTTATTGTATTTTGGTATTCTATAAATCTTGTAACACTTTAACGAAATTTATAGAAAATATCTTTATTCAAAAAATCTTACAAAAAAAAAATTGATCATTCACAAAATTTTTGAAATTTAGTCATAAGATATTTATTTTATTTATTAAAACTAATTTTAGAATTATTCCAACTCTTTGGTGAAATCCTAAAAAATTTTAAACAAATTTTAGGATAATTCAACTTTCTAACGAGATCTTAAAAAAAGAAATCATTTCTATTGATGATAATTAGAAAAAATGATATTCTTTCATTTTTTTTTCTTACTTAAGAGATTTGATTAAACATTTGTTTTATTTATTATTTATTATTCATTATTTTTGTCATTTTTTTGGTTATTTAAATAAATCCTTAGTTAGTTAAAATAACTCTTTAGATTATCCCAACTTTTTGGTGAAATTCAAAAAAACAATTTTGTTAATAATTAAAAGATTCATTTAAACAAACATTTTATTTTTTATTATTTATTGTTTTTATATTATAATTAATTAAATCTTTATTTTAGAAAAAATAATTTTTAGATTATTCCAACTCATTAGTGAAATTCAAAAGATATTTTTTACTTGCATTAATTAAGGAAAATTGGACTATTTTTGTTTTCTTTAAAAATTATATTTAAAAGATTAGCTTAAACAATTCATTAGTTTTTTTTTTTATTTTTTAGCAAAAAACTATTTCTTAAATTATTCTCACACTTTTGGTGAAATTTAAGTAACGTCTTATAACAAAATTTTAATTTTCCTTAAATAATTATTTTTTAAAGATTTGTGCATACTTTTTAATTTTTGCAAACCTATGTTTTATTTTAATTCTATTTTTATTTTTTACTCATTTCTAAAAGAATGATAACAATATAATAATAATAATAATAATAATAATAATAATAATAATAATAATAATAATATCATTAAAAAATCAACACAAAATAAATAAAATCAAAATAAAAAGAAAAAGAAAAGGAAAAACTTAGCAAACAGATCAGATCTCCAGTCGATTCACGCGTAGATCTTAGCATGAGTTGGGTTGCTCCATTACTCAAAGACTCCCAAAACAATGTTGTTTTGAAAAGCCTATAAAAGGCACTTTTTTTTTTTTTAATTTTTTTCTTTCCTCTGTCTTTAAAAAATTAGAGCCTCTTTATCGAAAACCAAACCCCCTTACCGACTGCTAGTATTTTCCAAATTCCTGTAGGTCACCGCCATGCTGTGGTTGAAATCTTTAACCATTGTCAAAAAATTCAAAAAAATTTCAAATATCGACCTAATTCCCAAATTTCAATTGTCAAAAAATTCAACCGATTGTTAAAAATTTCACCAGATTTCGATGACCCCAAAAAATTTTCAAAAATTCTCAAAAAAAAAATCCCAAGATGTTCCTTTTAATCTCCTAAATGCTTTTCCTAAATTAGTTTCTTCAAAAAATTTTCCAAACACTTAGATAAAAAAATGTTATGGTTTTTTTTTTTTGTAAATTTTTTATGCTAATGGTTCCTCCTCTAAGAGGACTGTGGTTTCATCTTTTTTTATTTTGTTTATTCTGTAATTTTTGGTTTTAAAAAACAAAATAGGGAACTTTCGCTTTCAGTGTAAGTGGGTTTGGTAGCCAAATGGTTTTTGGTTCTTTTGCTGTGTTTTTTTTTTTTTTGTGGCTATTGTCTTTGACTTTTAGTTAAGTGTGGGATTCAAGTAGATTGGTGAGGTTATGGGTTGGTTGCTAGTGGTGGTTTTTTTTTTTTTTTTTAGTGATGGGCTAAAGGAGATGGCAGTAAAAGTCTTAGGTGTGGTCAATGGGAGGCTACGATGGTGTCGGTGGGAATGGCCGTAGAGTATGGCTGATTATGGTGCTGGGGATCCTTCTGTCTATGTTGGTGCTGGCTGATACTAGGTGAAGTCAGGGCCTTGTTTACTGGGGCTGGTGCATGATTGTGTCGGGGTTGGTTGTCTACGTTTTTTTTTTCTTTGTATTGGCTCTATTTATGGAGCCAGTTTGCTAATCAAATCCCATATTTCTAGGAATTTTGTTGATTTACTTTTTTTTTATTCGTCGGTGACCTTTGTTTGCAAAATTTCATCTTTAAAATCAAGTATGGAGGTTAGCAATAAAGCTGGTAGAGAAGTTGAAAATTTTGGCAAAGATTTTCAATGCATTATATGCACTGTGACTTTGGGTGAAAGATAAAGAAAAGAAAGAAGAAAAAATATGTTAGAAAGAAAAAAAAAAAGATGTTAGAAAAAAGAAATAATAATAAAATATATATAATAATAATTTAAAAGCTTAATGAAAATGATCTGGTGTGAAAATAACTTGATGAATCCAATTAATATATTCTAACGGACTCAAATAAAATTGAAAATTGTTCGGATCTATACAAATTTGGTTTCTCGGACAAAATAAGTTTCTACAACTATCCCTTTTTACATATTGAATTACGAATAGGGTAAAGACAAAAAGACAACAATTTTGTCCGGATGACGTTACAAACACAAACACTATTTTTTTCTTTTTTTTTGGTTTTTTTTGTTTTTTTTGTTTTTGTTTTTAAAGAAAGAAAGATAACCCGAAAGCACACCTCTTTTTTTTTTCCATTAACTGAAAATAATTTGAATTTTTTTTTAAAAGCTCTTCTAACTAGAGGCTTTGTAATTTTAAATTTTAAAATTTCAAATGTCTTACAGATTATGCCTCAAAGGTCTTATAAATCAAGCCTAATCTTGAAAATCTCCTTTAATCAGAGGCAATGTAATTTTGGAAAAAGCTTTTCTAACCAAAGGTAATGAAACTTTAAAGAAAATTCCTCTAACCAGAGATGATGATACTTTAAAGAAAGCTCTTTTGACTAGAGACAATGAAACTTTTAAAAGAGCTCCTCTAACTAAAAATAATGAAACTTTAAATTAAAAATCTGAGAGATCTTATACATTATGCCATTTTACCTTACAAATCATACCTAATTTGAAAGAGTCATCTAACCAGTGGCTTTTAAAATTAAAAGCTCTTCCAACCAAAGGCTATAAAATTTTGAAAAAAGCTCCCCTAACTAAAGGCTATGACACTTTAAAGAAAGCTTCTCTAACCAAAGGTAATGAAACTTTAAATAACTCCTCTAACTAGAGGTAATGAAACTTTAAACTAAATCTAAAAAGCAATGGTATTTGAAAGATTCCTCTAAGCAGTGGTCATTAAACTTAAATGATTTCTCTAAACAAATGCTATAAAGTTTAAATGATTCCTCTAAATTTAGGCCATGAAGTTTGAATGATTCCTTTGAACAGAGGGCTTACATCTTTCTTGATTTTGACTTTTCCTTTTATTAGTCTTGAATTATCCTTGATCCATATATCTATTATGCCACATACATGCATGAATGACATTTTCATGCTTTGGCAATGTCATACAATGAATAATGATCATGATGCAAATAAAGAGAACATCTTCTTTTTTTTTTCTATATTATGTCATTTTCTTTTGATCCTCGAAATTTTTCATTGTCTGTTTCCCTTTTTCTTTTTGAATCTTATCTATTCCAGTAACTAATTATGTTCAAATAATAAAGTTTCTCTCTATGATTTTTCATATTTAATGTTTACCATTTTTATGACTTATAGACATATTTTTTCATCAATTTTTGTTCCTTACTATTTGGCTTATCATTTTAAATTTCCTTCAAAATAATTTGTGTGTCTTTCATGATCATTGTCAATTATTCATCATCTTTTGAATTTCATGACAATTATAACATATTAGTTATTTCTCTTTTTAATGAGAGGGACAAAAGAAGGATAAACAAAGGTGTATTTTATTTTAGTAAAAAGGAGAAATGTTTCATGCATTATCTAAAAAGATATAACAAGGAAAATAACTAATCATATAACAAATATTCAGATCATCATGCTCTAATTCATCATGGATTCTTTTTTAAAAACCCTTGATTAATGCCCTTTGACTTTCCAAAAACGTAGCAAACCAAGCTAGCCTAAAGCCAATGAGAACTTTTGGTACATATTGAAAATTGGCCCACTCCATTCAATACTTCTTTATCTAAGTTGTTCTTTTAGGTTTTCAACTCAAATATCTCTTTGGTT